TTCATAAATTATCTGTAATTTTTAGGTAAAAGTAAGAACTACTTGTATGAAAGACCTTGTATTAAATTGTCTAGCCTTAGCTGGTGCCAGTGTAGCGTGCGATCTACCGCTTACTATTGTGGTCTACCTATGATCTACTTATGCACCTGGCAGATGCGGTATGGATATACATAGCGATAACCGAATAATAATAAACGAAATGTCAAACATGTATGGGAAATTGGGAAGTTATATTTTTGTATAATACGATAAAGATTATATTGGTGCCATTGTTGATGGACCGTGGGTTTTCGGTCTCAAGCATGGAAATTACAGTAGGTATTTTTACGTAGAACGCCTTGACAAGGATACTCTTTTACCTATTATTAAAAGGGAATGTGAAGGTGGTTCCGTCATTCACTCAGATGAGTGGCCCTCATACCGATGTTTAACATCAGAAGGGTTCATTCATGAAACTGTTAATCATCAAGAAAATTATGTTGACCCCTTGCGCACACACGGGTTGTTGAAAGATCATGGTTGGATGCAAAAATATCCATACTGAAGAAAAAGAGAGGCGTACCTATCCATAATATGCTTCAGTCACATTTGGATCAGTATTGCTGGAAGATGTGGCGGAAAAGTCAACCAGATTTGTTCATTGCATTTTTAGAAGATATGCGGGCGACATACATATCATTAACGACGACTAAATTGTCTAAAACGAAACTTATATTATGTGAATGATTTTTATATTTTATATTTCCAAAAACAAGCTGGTAGATCGCACGCTACACCAGAAACGAGCTGGTAGATCACACGCTACACTAGCACATATAGCACCCCTTAGCTATATATATTTTATATTTTATAAGTTTTGAACTACAAATTAACTGTCATTTTGACGAAATTTGAACTTTAAATGCTTATAAAAAATAACCATGGAGCCTATGTAGTGTTTGAAGTATGAAATATCAAATATTTCACAAAAACGTGACACATTGAAATTTTTTTACACAAATAAAAACACAATTTATTTATTTTTTTAACACAATGTTCATTGTTCTAAATTCTAATGACAGAATTCAGTATTTATACAAAATACATGTATAATATTGCATACCTACTTGTAAACATTAAAATATTTAAAAAATTTGAATACCATTTTAAATGCATAATACCATTTTAAATATTATTAAATTACTATATTTATAAATGAAATATATATTTATGTTATACATACCTATAGGCTATATGATATTGTGATTAAATACGCGTCCTAAGTAGTAATAGATTAATTGTACAAAGTCAGCGCGCCGGTCGTACATAGTCAGCGCGCCGGTCGTACACTAGTCAGCGCGCCGGTCGTACACTAGTCACACGTGTGTTCACGACCAACGCTCCCAGGCCCGCCTCCAGCGGCAATTTCGTTTTCTCGGACTTAACTAGTCTAGCTAAGTTGTGCTTCTTTTCCGAATTAGCTAAATAACAAGTTCGCGTACAGGTCGGTGTCGATTTCGAGTCGGCCTGATAACTCAAACCCCCGTGGGTCCACCGGCAAGCACCGTCATAAGGTCTTGCTGGCCGCCCGACTCTGGTGAGTACTTTAACCTACAAATATTCCGACCACGCGCTTTCCGCACGTCCGCGCATCCCGAACAAGCGCCGCCCGGAACCGGCGGCCGCGAGCACTTCGCAGACCCGCGCGTGCGGGCATTTACGTAAGTCCCCGTACCTCCGCGAGTACTTGTCCAAGAACAGCGCGGACGACACAGCCCTGTAGTGCGGACCACCCCGCACTACATACTGAAAGTCCCCCCCCCCGCTTCACCTTTTTGGACTAAGTATAACTCCACGGCCCTTCGTGCTAGCGACCCCGCTCCTTCACGGAAGATTTCGGTTTTAGGACCCCAACAAGTCCCCCTCCGCCGCCCGCGTCGGACCACCCTTCCAAGGGATCCCCGGAACCGACAGCCCGATCCCGCCGAGACTCGGGGAACCCGTTAGGGACCTCACCAGGACCCAGCCCACCAAATCCCGCGGGATTCGGGAGGGTCCGAGAAAAGGGTCAACACCCCCCCCTCCGGGGCTGCGGCCCGGAAACATGCCAGGACCTTGCCAAAACCCCCCCCACCAAGATGGGATGGTCGACCAAAGCAGCCAGGGCGGGCCTCTGCCCTGGGCTGTCACTCTTGACCGCTTGTCCGAGAGCTTGCAGGGCCCCCTCCAGCCAGCAGCCGAGCAGACGCAAAAAAGGAAGAACGGGACCTCAGGAGACCCAGTCGTCAGTGAGTTGGAAGCCTCGCTCCAGCTTGTCAGGTCAAATCTGCAGACGGCCCTAAGAAACGTCAGGGACGCCAGGTCGGACCCTACCAACAAAGGGCTAAACGCGGGCAGGATGCTCGAGTTGATGGAAACAAGCCTGGAGTGCCTCAGCAAGGTGCTGACCAGGAAAGGCCACCTGGTCACCTCCCCCCCAACATCGCCAGTATCTAAACAAGCCAAGGTCGCAGAAACCAGCCAGCCAGCCAGGCCGCCCATGGCCGACGCTACCACCGACACTCTACTAACACCAAGTTGGTGGGACAGTGACAGGACAATCGAGGCGCGGGCGGCCTCCAGGCGCCGATCCGTCCGGAAACCCGCTGACCCCACCCAGCGCCACGCCCGCTTCACGGAGACTGAAGATGACACCGCCATGGACACGGACGCCGTGGACATGGACACGGACGCTGTGGTCACCTGGGCCAACGTCACCAAAAGACGGAGAAGAACCAGGAAAGCCACGGCACCCGAACCCCGCCCGCCTGCCCCCAAGGCCCCCACGAGGCTCATCAGTGTCGCGAAGAAGCCGCCCGCAATTTTAATCAAGCCCGGAGACGGGAAGACCTTCGCGGATACTGTGCGCTCAGTCCGCTCCTGCGGGCTCACCACACAAGATCTAGGCACGAGCGTCTCCATGCGTGAAACCCGCGACGGATCATTGCTGCTGGAACTGCCCAAGGGGGCGAAATCCGCAGCGGCAGCCAAGACGATCGCTGAAGCCCTCGGCAGCAAGCTCGGAGACTCTGTCGGGAGAGTGTCCCAACTTGGCGTCCAGGTGGAGGTAGAGGTCCTTGATCTGGACGCTGTGTCCTCCGCAGCCGAGGTGCTGGAAGCCCTCCGCGCAGCCATTCCTGGCGAGAACGATCCAGCCGCTGCAGCCGAACGCGAGGCGATTTGTGACGTCCGCATATGGTCGGTCAGAGCTGGCCAACAGATTGCGACGGCCAAAATGAGTCGCTACGCAGCCTCTAAAATCACCAAGGTCCCGGTAGGCTGGACAATGTGCCGAGTCCGCAGTAGGACCCTCCCCCCGGTAAGGTGCTTCAGATGCCAGGCCTTCGGCCACAACTCCAGAATCTGCACGGCACTAGACAGGACGGGCGCTTGTTGGAGGTGCGGCGAGGCCGACCACCTCATGAAGGATTGCGTGGCCGGGGAAGACCGTTGTCTCGCGTGCGAGATGGCCGGTCTCAGCAAGACGAGCCACAAACCGGGTTCGGGCGCCTGCGCGGCGCGAAGACAGGCCGCAGGATCCAAACCCGGTCAAAATGATTAAGTTCCTGCAGATCAACCTCAACGTGAGCTGGGCGGCGCAGCAGCTGATGGTACAAACGGCGGACGAAGAGGGAGCGGACCTACTGATCGTCTCCGAACCATCGACCCGCTACGGCCAGGAAGACGGGTGGTGCTTCAGCTCCGACCGCATGGCTGCCGTGGGCATCCCCCGCCTCTCAACACTCAGCTGTGATCTCCGGG